GAGACTCATCCCTGAGACATTTGCTGGAGCTACTGGGAAAGAGAAGTTCCTCCTGCTGGGACTGGGAAGTTGATAGGGGCCTGAGGCAGCTGGGGGTGCTTCCAGGAGCAGACAGTCTGCCTGAGGCTGGAGGCAGCACAGATGAAGATGAAATTGTTTGAGCACCTGAATCCAGCTATTCCTGAAGCCAATCCCTTCTGGACCTTTCAGTTATATGAGTTGAATACAACTCTTTTTTGTGCATGTGAGTCGAGTTTCTGTCCAAAGATCCCTGACTAATAAAGTCACAAGGTCAGAGTTGGGTCCCCAAAGCTCCTGACTCTTGGTTCAGAGCTGCCCCTCCGGGTGACAAGAGTGGTGAACAGGAGAGCCCCAGGTTGCCACCCATGCCACACACAACCACACTCACGATGCCCAGGGTGAAGAGCGGCCGTTGGGCTTTATTGGTGGGAAACAGGTCCAACACGATCAGCTGGACTGCCTGGGCGCCGTCCTGGCTCAGCAGCAGCTGGGGGGTCTTCCGAGTCTGGAACTTCACCAGCTGGGTGCGGTCCAGCATCTCTGCGGCCTGGAAGGACAGCGGACAGCGTGGGACCTCCGAGGGCCTCTCGAGGCCCCAGCCCCCGCCCTTCAGGTGCACAGGGATGAAGCTCTGTGTGATCATTCGACCTAACGGCCTGACTAGATAGAACCCTCGGGGGCCGGGTCTGTCGTGAGCGTCCCCAGTGGTGAAAGACGACAGTGATCTCTGGAAGCCCCTGGCAGCGAGACCCACGGGGCTGCCCGTGTGAGGGACCCACCTGTTCGCTGATCTCCTTGATGCTCGACTTCAGCTCCTTGGCCAGGTCAGGGAGCTGTGGGCGAGAGGAAGCCAGGGCGGTGGGCTGCACCCCACTGCTGGGAGGAAGCTGTCCCAGAACCCCTCAGAAGCTGGGTGGGCCCTGGGCCCAGGCCACGTGTCTGTCAGTGGTGCAAAAATATCCCCTGGGTCAGCCGCCCTGGGGCCTGGGGTCCCTGGTGACCTTCCGGCCGTGGTTGGTGGTGGCTGGGCTCCTCGCTCCCAGAAGACGCACAAAAGTGACTCCAGTGCTTGCTGCAGCCATAAATGTGATCGCTAGTGACCACTGACCCTCT